AAGTGGCGCTGTAGCTCAAGTGGTAGAGTGCTCGCCTTGAGCTGAAGAGCTGAGGGACAGCGCCCAGGCCCAGAGTTCAAGCCCCACAACCGACAAAAAAAAAAAGTAACCTTTAGAGCCAGGTACACATGATTCATGCCCATAATTCTAGCTTCTCAAGAGGCTGAAGTCTGAGGATCAAGATTCAAAGCCAGCCCAGACAGACAAATCCCAGAGATTCTTATCTCCAGTTAACCAGCAGAAAGCCAGAAGTGTAGCTCACCTGTTAGAGTACCAGCTTTGAGTAAAAAAGCCAAGCTAGAGCACAAGGCCCTGAGTTCAAGCCCTACTACTAGCACGCACATGCATGCGCATGCTTGCGTGTGCACGCACGCGCACACACACACACACACACACACACACTCCCTGTAAAGAATTAGGAATATATAACTGATAAAATGCCTGTTGTTTTCCTTCATTCTGTTATGTAATTTCTGTGGTTAAGGCATCATATCAAGCATTTTGAGGTGAGAATACCCCACCTAACTTTCTGATTTTATCTCAGTTATCTGATTTTTGTCTCATTTCTCCACATTGTTTAGAAGCTATGTCTTCACAACTGACTTTTGTACTGTGCAGCCATGAAATAGTTCCACTATAGGAATGCTTCCCTGGAATTTTGCCTCAGTTCTTGTTTCTTCTGTGATGTTCAGGTTGGGGGCTTGCTGTCAGTGGGAAAGGGTCTGTCTAGCAAGTATAATAAGACCTTGCATTCAAATCCCAGCACTACTTTTACTAAAAAAAACAACAACAGATGCTCATCAGCACAATATTCCAAGGAACTCAGCCTGGCCCTTTTTTTGCTCAGAGCTGTGTTTGGCAGTTCTGCAGTTTAGGAGACCTTGATTGGGGAAACTTGGCCCCTTAGAGTAACTTGAGCTAAGGGTTATCAACATACTCCCTACAAGTGCAGTAGCCCCCAACAGCAGGAAATGTGTGAGACTAACTACACAGGCTCCTTCTCATACCTTCCATTCTATTTTCATTTGACCTTGAACCCGTAGGTACCTCAAGGAATCCTGGAGCGAAACCAGAAGATCCTTCTTTTCATAAAGGGAAAAGCTGGAGCCACATTGGACATCCTGGTAGAGAACATGGGGCGCATAAACTATGGCAAGTCTATCAACGATTTTAAGGTAGGCTGAGCAACACTGGTAGGACTGAGGCTGAAGGGTTCCTGGGCATATGTCTGAATAATTGGAGAAAGTTTTATAGATTGATTTGAAAACTCATAATGCATTCTTTGCCTCCACTCCCATTAACATAGAAGCAAATTTTAATAGGCTTTATATTTGTTTGTTCTTACATTTTCTGCCTGGGCTGGCTTTGAAACTTGATTTTCCAGATCTGTCTCCTGAGTAGCTTAAGATTCCAATTGTGAACTATTGACACCCAGAAATATGTCTTATATATTTTTTATTTATTTTTTTATTTTTTGTCAGTCGTGAGGCCTGAACTCTGGGCCTGGGTGCCCTCAGCTCTTCAGCTTACCACTTGAGCCACAGCGCCACTTCTGGCTTTTTCTGCTTATGTGGTGCTAAGGAATCAATCCCAGGGCCTCATGCATGCAAGGCAAGCACTCTACCACGGAGCCACCTTCCCAGCCCATATGTCTTATATTTAAGCAGTACAACTTAATGGTTTTTCTTTTGTTTTCATTTGTCTTTTGTCAGTCTTGGGGACTTAAACTCAGGGCCTGGGCACTGTCCCTGAGCTCTTTTTGCTCAAGATTAGCATTCTACCACTTTGAGCTACAGTGCTACTTCTGGTTTTTGAGTGGTGAATTGGAGATAAGAGTCTCACAGGGACTTTTCTGCCCCAGCTCACCTTGAACCGTGATCCTCAAATCTCAGCCTCCTGAGTAAACTAAGATTACAGGCATGAGCCATTGGTGCCCACCCTCAACTTAATGTTTTGATATATGTATATACTGTGACATGATCATCACAGTCACGCCTGGTCACAGGAGAGAGGCAGTTTCTAAGAGCACACACAATTTGCCAAGCTTGATGAGTGAACCTCCCTGATTTGTTTTGCAAGCTAAATGATGAGTTATTTTGAAGAGCTCCTTTCGTTGGCAGATGATAAGAAAGTGGAGCTTTATAAACAGTTGAATGCTTCCCTTGAGCTTGAGTGTGGTCATCCCACAGAAAGCAACGGAAGCCTCTCCACCACGTTCTTCCTCTTCCTCTGCTTTGAAAACCCACCTCGCTCATGAAAGACACTCCCTTTTCAACCCAGCGTGCTGAGCATCTGGAGAGCTCGGCTGCATGGACATCTGTGACCCTTGAGTACTGTGGACAGCCTTTTTTCTTGCTGAACTGATTCTTGCCTTTTATTCTGTACCCAGGTGTCTAGTCAAAATCTGTTGTTCTAGCAAATATTTCTAGCCTCATAGATTTTTGTTTAGCTTACAGGGTGTCCCCACAAGGTGCTTCTGGAGGGTACAAAGACAGGATGTCTATAAGAAAGAAGGCTCTTCGAAGAAACAAATGCACCCCTGGTCTAGAACAGGACAGGGACTAATTCCTGACCCTTTCGGGAGCAGCTCAGAGGCTAACCAATTACACACGAAGGCTATGCGGTAGATGCCTTTGCCTCTATTATAAATGTCTCTCACCATCCTTGGGCTCAGCTATAATCAGGTCTTCCCTGCCTGCCTCTCATAGGCCATACTGACCTCTCAAGAGACTGGACTCTGTTGAGTAGTCTCTGAGTCTCCAATACCCAGCCAAAAGCCTGCCACATAACTGCATATTGTAGTACTAAGTGTGATATACTTACCTCACTCACTAAATGGACAGTTGAAACTTGGTATCAGAAAGTATCCTGAGACAAATCTGGGATCTCATTGGGAATGGAGAAATTCCTCATATAAAAAGCCAAGAATGTGGGCTGGGAAGGTGGCTCAGTGGTAAAGTGCTTGCCTAGCATGCATGAGGCCCTGGGTTCCATTCCTCGTACCACATAAACAGAAAAAGACGGAAGTGGTGCTGTGGCTCAAGTGGTAGTATGGCAGCCTTGAGAAAAAGAAGCTTGGGGACAGTGCCCAGGCCCTGAGTTCAAGCCTCAGGACTGGAAAAAAAAAGTGAAGAACGTGCCATTGGTACATTCTGTAAAACCCAGCTTTGGGGAAGCAAAAGCAGAAGGATCGTGAGTTTCAGGCCAGCTTATGCTACCGAATGAGTTCCAGGCCAGCCTGAGATACATACTGAGACCTTGTCTCAAAACACCAAAGAGAAAAGAAGAAGAAGAAGTTAGAATCCAGGTGCCAGAGGTGTATATCTGTAATCCTAGCTCCTTAGCAGGCTGAGATTTGGTGGATAACTGCTCACACTGAGCCTTGGCAGAAAAGTCTGTAAGGTTCCATCTCCAAAATAACCAGCCAAATTCCATGCTGGAAATGTGGCTCAAGTGCTAGCACATCAGTTGTCAACAACTGAACTGAATGAGAACTCAAGGCTAAGGGTAAGCCTCAGTATTCTCACATAGTCCCGAGTGTAAGCTGCTGTGTGGTAACTGTTGCCAGGGACTTGCCAGCTCTTGGCCCCTTGGGACAGATAGAGTAATTTCCACACCAATTCTGAGGCTCACCACTATTGTCATGACCATTCATATCCTCTTATAGACCTCAGAGTCTTCTCAACTAGTGTTTCTCACTTCACAGTGGCTGGGTGAACTCAGGTTTGAGCATCCTGAGCTCAGGGGCTCCAAGACGACACTGGCTCCAGGTTCTGTGTGAGAAGCAGAGGCCTTCCCTTTTCTCGGATCCATTTGTCTTCTATTTTAGCAAACACAGAGGATTGGTGAAGTGAGGCCAAGAGTTCCATGGGCTTCTCGTCTACTCTTGTGTTGACTACAGCCTCCCAAAGAGGGACATGCTGCAGTGTAGGCATACACCTCTTCCCAAGATGTGATTTGGGCCTCAAGCCAGAGCTGGGGTGCTTGTATGTGTAGTTTGTTGGTGCTTTGAATCCCAGTGTGCTTTCCGAGGGATTCAGTGCTGAATGCAGAAGCATGCATTTTCCTTTTCCTTCCCTCCCCAGCTCATGATGCTGTTTCTTCTTCATAGGGTTTAGTCTCTAACCTGACCCTTGGTGATAATATCCTCACAAACTGGACCATTTTCCCACTGGACACTGAGGATGCACTGCACAGCCGCCTAGCAGTCTGGAGAAACCATCATGCTAGCCGCCGTAATGCTGGACGCCATGATGCTGGACGCCATGTTGCTGGACGCCGTGTTGCTGTCCACCACGGTGCTGGCCGCCACAGAGCTGGCCACCACAGAGCTGGCCACCACAGATCTGGCCACCATGTTGCCAAAGAGGCTTCTAGCGGCTCATCTTCATACACACTCCCGGCCTTTTATGTGGGCAACTTCTCCATTCCCCAGGGAATCCCAGACTTGCCCCAGGACACCTACATTCAGTTTCCTGGCTGGACCAAGGTATGTACCTTCATGGGAAGGATTTCTATTTAGGCTTCAAGCATCAGATTTTTAGTTTGAGAAGGACTGAGAAGAGACATTAATGGGGTGCTTCTGTTTGAGGTGCCCGAGGTTCTCTGTGTTTGATTACCAATTCCTGAAGAATGGAATGGTAGCAGGGCTTCAGGGACTCTGGGGATGGCCTAGAGGTAACCCCTCAGCTCCATTTTCATTGATACCATCCACTGGTGAATGACAGCTTTCCTGTCATAAGCACTGCTTATGAGAACTTCTTCATCCACAAGAAAATCCAGTTCAAAAGTTAATCTGGTCCAGCAGTGACTTTGTGCTCTGTTCAGCACTCCCAGTGTCCCTCCTCCATTCAGCTACACATCCTTGAGTGTCTGGTCTTAATCTAGATGAAGCCCAACTCAATTCTGTCCATTCCCCTTACTAGTCACTCCCTTGATTCTTTGAAGACATTGACTCCCCTTCCTTTATCCCTGAAAATCCTGTTTTCATCCTGCATGACCTTACAAAAATTGTCATTCGACATTTTTTTTGTCAGTAGTGGGACTTGAACTCAGGGCCTGGGTGCTGTTCCTGAGCTTTTCTACTCAAGGCTAGCACTCTACCACTTGAGCTACAGCTCTACTTCCAGTTTTCTTTTTTTTTTTTGTCAGTCATGGGGCTTAAACTCTGAGCCTGAGTACTGTCCCTCAGCTCTTCAGCTCAAGACAAGCACTCTACCACTTGAGCCACAGTGCCACTTCCAGTTTTCTGGTAGTTTATTGGAGATAAGAGTCTCATGGACTTTCCTGCCCAGGCTGGCTTTGAACTGTGAGCCTCAGATATCAGCCTCCTGAGTAGCTAGCAGTAGGCATGCCACCAGAGCCCGGCTACTTCCAGTTTTCTGATAGTTAATTGGAGATAAAGAGTCTCACAGACTTTCATGCTGGCTTTGAACCCTGATCCTCAGTTCTCAGCCTTCTGAGTAGCTAGGATTATAAGTGTGAGCCATCAGTACCGGCCTTCAACAGATTCTTGTACTGCGGCTGCTCCGTGGCTCAGGTTTGTGTCAGGTACTTAGGGAGACAATGATTAATACAACCACATGTGATCTTGCCCTTGTAAAACTTATGGTCTAATAGAGAGGGTGACCTGAATCATATAGTCATCCCAATAAAATGGTAAGCCTATGATGAGTGTTAACAAGAGATTTAACCATTGGATTGATAATAATTGGGACATTTGACCTTGCCAAGAGCGACAGAGACACCTTCCCTAGAAAAGTGATTCTTAACAGAGATATGAATGATGATTAGGAATTAATAAGAAGAGGAGGGAAGGCTAGAGGTGTAGCTCAAGTGGAAGTGTGCTAGCTTAAGAAGGGGATAGAAGTATATTCAGGGAAGAGGGAACCACATCTGCAGAGGCCAGGTGGCTGGAGAGAAGTGACAAGTATAGAAAGTGGATAGAGAAAAGGCCACTTTCAAGTTTTGACTTTATATTAAGTGTTGTTGAAGTAGGAGGCTAACGATACAATTGCAATAGAGTAAGTGCCCTGAGTTCAAATCCCAGGACTGCCAGAAAAAGAGATTTTTCATTATCCTTGTGTCTAATTTCCTTTATGAATTCTTTCTTGACCCAAAAGTGCATTGTTTAGCCAGGCATGGTGGCTCATATCTATACTACTAGCTACTGCAGAGGCTAAGATTGGGAGAATTGTGGTTCAAAGCCAAACTAGGTAGAGATATTCATGAGACCCCCCCTCCCCCATCTCAATCAATAAAAAGATGCACATGGCTGCACATTCTGGTCATCCCAAATATGAGAAAAGTTAGAAATATTATGGTCCAAGCTGGCCCAGGTAAAAAGTGACACCCTATTTGAAAAAAAGCTAAAATAAAAAGGATTAGGGGACATGTCTCATGGCTCAAGTGGTAGAGCACTTGACGAACAAGCAAGGAGGCCCAGGGTTCAAACCCCAGTATCTTAAAAAAAAAAATCATTTACATGTATTTGTGTTGTTCAATCAAAACATTTTTATTGGTTCCTCTTTTAATTAATGTAATCAATCTGATGTCTATAAAAATTCTAGAAGGAGAAAAGTAATTATTGCCATTGGTTAGCAAAGCCTTCTTAGATTTAATACCTAAAGCATTAAAAGTAAAACTTGGTAAATTGGACTTTATCAAAATTAAAAATGCTTAGTCATAAAAAAAATCACAAAAATAAAACTCCAAGCCACAAACTGACAGAAAATAATTTTCAAATCATATATATCTTTTATTAAGAAAAGAGAGACTCAAATCTAGAACATACAAAGAATTCTTACAACTTAATAGGAAGAAAACCCAATATAAAAGTGGGCAAAAGTAATAAATACATGAAAAGATTACTAATACTTAATATCATTTATCACTAGAGAAATGCAAATCAAAACCATAGTAAAATGTTACTGTAATAATCAGGTCATATGAGATCCTAAGTTAAATCAGGAGAGACACCTCCCCAGAAAGAGGGACAACAAAAAATGGCAAAGATACGAAGCAAAGGAAATCTTGCATGACTGGTGGGAAAGTGGTACAAACCTCCAGAACAAAGTCTGGAAGCTTTTTTTAAGGGTTAAGTGGAATTATGTTAGCACCAGCAGATCCACTCCTAAGGATTATACCCAAGAGAAAAGAAAACATATCCACAGAAAGACTTGTATGTATGGCCAGATACAATAGTACACACCAATAATCCTAGCACACGTGAAGCTCAAACAAGAGGGTTGAGAGTTCCAGGCCGGGCTGGGCTAATAATGGTTACACAATGATCTTAAAAATATAAGAAAGCGAAACAGTGGTTAATACCTCTATTCCTAGCTTCACTTCTTAGCAGGCAGAGATCTGAAGATTGAGGTTCAAAGCCAGCCCAAGCAAGAAAATCCAAGAGACTCATCTCTACTTAACCAGCAAAAAGCCAGGCCAGGGGAGTTGTAGAGTCCAGCCATGAACACTGGGTCTTCAGTTCTTACTCTCTCCTACTGGACATCCCTGTTGTCTTTTGTTTGTTTTGTTGTGAAGCTTGAACTCAGGGCCTGGTTGCTGTTCTTGAGCTTTTTTGCTCAAGGCTATCACTGTACCACTTCGAGCTACAGTTCCACTTCCGATTCTCAGGTTGGTTAATTAGAGATAGTCTCACAAACTTTTCTGCCTAGGTTGGCTTTGAACCGCTATCCTCAGATCTCTGGCTTGTGGGTAGCTAGGATTACAGGTATGAGCCACTGATACCTGGCCTACTATTTTGTATGTGTGCCAGTCCTAAGGCTTGAACTCTGGGACTGGATGCTGTCTCTGAGCTTCTGTGCTAGCATTCTACCACTTGAGTTATGGTTCCACTTCCAGCTTTTTTTTTCTTGTGATTAATTGGAAATAAAAGTCTTTCCTGCTAGGGGCTGGGAATGTGGCTTATTGGTACAGTCCTTTCCTAGCATGCATGAAGCCCTGGGTTCGATTCCCCAGTGCCACATAAACAGAAAAGGCCAGAAGTGGCACTGTGGTTAAGTGGTAGAGTTCAAGCCTTGAGCAAAAGAGGCTCAGGGACAGTGCCCAAACCCTGAGTTCAAGCCTCAGGACTGGCCAAAAATAAAAAAAATTCTTTCCTGCTAGGACTTACTTCCGATCATGATCCTCAGATCTCAGCCTTCTGGGAAGCTAGGATTAGAGGTATGAGCCACCAGCACCTGGCCCATTATCCTTTTTCTATGAGTCTTTTACCCCTTGCTTTCCTGTCTTTCCTCTCTCCCTCCATTTGGAAGGGGTCCACTATGGTTTTTCTCTGCTGGTTCATGGATAACTGAGCTGAGCTGGTGGGCCTTTGCAATGCATTAGTCATGGCCACTGTCCCCTCACTGTCTCCAGCCTCTAGAAGCTTTCAGACAGTCTTCATTTCTCTTCTCCCTTCCCTGTTGGCCTTTCTGTTTTGTTTTGTTGGTACTGGGATTTGAACTCAGGCCCCTGTACTTGCTAGGAAGGCATTCATACTACCACTTGAGCCACAACCTCTGTTGGCCCCTCTGTTGGCCTTTCTAGACCTCCTGACCTCCTTAAGCCTCCCATACTTTCCTCACCTAACACCTCCCCCAGGACCTCATCCTCCTCACTATGTGACTCCTTTGTTCCCTGGGCCTTCCTGTCAAACCTGATTCTGCCTCTACCCTCACTTCCTGCCCAGTGAACTACTAGGAGGAAGCCTGAGGTCTGAATCCCCTCCCCACCTTCTTCCTCCAGGCCAAAACCCTGTTCTCATACTGCTCCACCCAGCCTGCGCTTCATTCCTCCTTTCTATCTCTGCCAATTCCTTTTTAGTAGCCAAGAAGTGATCTCTCGAGGCTCTAGGACCTAAAACCAAAGGAAGCACCTCCCTGGCTCAATCCCCTTCAGCAAACAGGCATATTCCCCCCTTATTTTCTTCTGCCCTCCTTAGTGCAACCAAAGGTACAGAAATGAAAAGCATGGGACACTTTAGAGGTCAGGGTTGGTTTACCCTGGCTGGGTTAGATCCCACCCAGGCCTCTGCTTAGCACTTGGAGGACTTGGTCACCAGTGGTGCAGAATGTCCTATGGCTATCTGCAGCTTGCAGGTGAGCAGTAGGCAGCTTGGAGAGCTGAGTAGCCTGCAGGCGGTATAGGTTTCCAGCTCTAAGTCCATGTGGAAAGGCAGGGGCATGGCACAGGATGTCTCATTATCCAAGGAGCTTGGACTCACTATCCAAGCGTGGTGTTTGCTTATTTGGTCAGCCTGATTGTCCCTGAGGGATAGGTGAGGGTTTCCCTTGGCTTTGCAGTATGCCCACAAAATCACAGGAACTTCAGGTCCTCTGTTATAAAGCATTTCAGGTGTCTTATAAAAAGAGTCTCACCAGCTGAACACTCTAGCAAGGGCTTATTTTAGTATAACAGGGTTAAAGTAAGGAGAGATTAAAAAAGAGAGAAGTATTTCCTGTTCCCCATGCAGGAAGTGGAACCTAA